TGGCCTCATAAAATGAGTTTGGAAGTTTTCCTTCCATTTCTATTTTTTGGAACAGTTTCAAGAGAATAGGTATTAATTCTTCTTTAAATGTTTGGTAGAATTCCCCTGGGAAACCATCTGATCTACCCTTTCTATTACTATGAAATTTCCATCTAATATTTGAACTGTTTTCCCTCTGTATGCAATGTCTTTTTTCCCTGGCTGGTTTTAAGAATTTTCTCTTTTATTTTGATTCTGATTGAGTATGATGTACCTAGGTATGATTCAGTTTTTATCTTGCTTGGGGTTTGTTGAACTTTTTTGATCTGATTGTTGGTAGCTTTTTTCAATTTAGAAAATCTTTGGCTATTGTATTTTCAAATATTTCAAATATTCACTTTCTCCTTTCCATCTGAAGCTAATGGGTTGTATGCTAAATCAAGACCACTTGATATTGTTCTGTAGATTTCAGATGCTCTTTTCCTTTTATCATTCTCTCCCAACCCCCTTTTGGGTCTCATTTTGGGTAATTTCTATTGACATCTTTAAGTTTACTAATTTTTTCCTCTGATGTATGAAGGTAAGCCCCTTGTATGAATTATTTTTTTATATATATTTTATGGCAAGCATTTCAGCTTGTATCTTTTTTTAAGGTTTCCGTCTCTCCTGAAATTTCTCATATTTTTGGCCATTGTCCATCTTATTCATTAGATCCTTTAACATATTTATGATAACCATTTTACAGGCCCTGTTTGATATTTCTTATATTTAGACCATCTCTGGATCTGCTTATACTGAACATTGTAATCCTGATCAGACATCAGATTTTTCTTTCTTCTTCTTGTATCTTGGGAGACCCCTGGGAGATTTCTTTCAGCTTGTCAGTATGGTTTCCACCTTTTTGTATTTCCAAATTTTATTTTTCTCTCTTGTCCTTCGTTTGGCTTTCTGCTTTTTGAGATACCTCTCTCCACTGTGGTGAAGGACTAGAGTGCCTTGGAGGGACTTTTCTGAGTTCTGTTGCTTCTTCCTCAGGCTTCAGCAAGCCAAAGATTTGTATTTGAGCGATTTCGTGGGTTACCTGAACAGGGGGAGGAAGGTAGAATATCTCTCTTGCTGTTCTATAGTGCTATAGTGCTCTCAATTTTCTCTGTATTACTTGTCTGTTCCATGTACTCTGTTAAGGCTCATGGGGAAGAATTACTGGGTGGGGACATACTCACTCTGTGGCTGGGACCCTGCAGGACTCTAGTCTATCACACAGGCTTTGGTTGGTTTCTCCCATGCTGTGCAGATTCCTACTCCTCCTGAGGAGGATTCCTTTTCTGCTAGGGATGAAATCAGCCCAGAATCGCTTCTATCTTATAAAGGATTAGTAATTTTTGGAACTTTGCTCCTTTAGGTTTCTTTAAATTCTGTCTTTTCTACTTTTAAAAGACTACAGTTTTATAGTTTATCTGGCATGTTCTCATTAGTGGGAGTGATAGTCTCTAGCAAATTTCTACATTCTAACCAGAGGTAAAGTCCTTGGACTAACTTAGAAGACATATTAAAATCACATAACTGAGTGTTTATGAATCAAATAAAATAGATCTTAGTGCTTATAATTACACCCCATTAAAAAAATTAAGTGTTATCCCTTGGCTTTATTACATAAATATTTTAACCAAATACCCTTTAAGTGTTTCTGAAATGCAAACCCATTTTTTAGCGAAAAATGTTTGCTACCATTAAGATAATGAAAAGAATGTGGTAAAGCGCTACAGGCCATGCTCAAAGCAGGAATTCTAGTAAATATTTTGAGCAAAGCCCAAAGTTTTAGAAAAGTTTATACTTTTCCAAGATAATTATGAATTAAAAGACATGTTTTTCTTCAGCTCCTAGTCATTGTCCTCTTGCATTAATATATTTGAAATATGGCTATTTTATTTTTATTTTTCACTTATTTAAATTCAGTTAATTAACATATGGTATATCATTAGTTTCAGATGTAAAGTTCAGTAATTCCTCAGTTGCATATAACACCCAGTGCTCATTACATCCTGTGCCCACTTTAATGCCCATCATCCAGTTACCCCATCGCCCACCGACTAGCAACCCTCAGTTTATTTCCTATAGTTAAGAGTCTCTTAGGGTTTCTCTCCTTCTCTGATTTTGTTTTTCTCTTCCTTCCCCTATGATCGTCTGTTTTGTTTCTTAAATTCCACACATGAGTGAAGCCATGTGATAATTGTTTTTCTCTGATTGACTTATTTTGCTCAGCATAATACCTTACAATTCCATCCATGGCAATGCAAATGATAAAATTTCATCCTTTCTGATGGCTGAGTAGTATTCCTTTGTGTGTGCATCTATATATATATACACATCACATCACATCTTTATTCCTCTGTTGATGGACATCTGGGCTGTTTTCATAGTTTGACTGTTGTGGACATTGCTGCTATAACATTGGGGTGCGGTTGCCCCTTTGGATCACTGCATTTGTATCTTTGGGGGAGGTACCTAGTAGTGCAATTGCTGAGTCATAGGGTGCTCTATTTTAATGTCTTGAGGAACCTCCCTATTGTTTTTCGGAGTGGCTGTATTAGCTTGCATTCCTACCAACAGTGTAAGAGGGTTCCCCTTTCTCTACATCCTTGCCAACATTTGTTGTTTCTTGTCTTATTAATGTTAGCCAATCTGACTAGTGTGAGGTGGTATCTCATTCTCATTGTGGTTTTGATTTATTTTTCCCTGATGCCAAGTGATGTGGATCATTTGTTCATATGTCTGTTGGTCATTTGTATGTCTTCTTCAGAGAAACGTCTCTTCATGTCTTCTGCCCATTTCTTGACTGGGTTATTTGTTTTTTGGGTGTTGAGTTTGGTAAGTTCTATATAGATCTTAGATACTAGCCCTTTATTGGATGTGTCATATCTTCTTCCATTCCATAGGTTGCCCTTTAATTTTGTTGACTGTTTCCTTTGCTGCACAAAAGCTTTTTATCTTTTTTTAATTAATTCAAGAAATATTTTATTGACCACTGTCATGGGCCAAACACAGGACTGGCACTGGGATATAGTACTATATAACAGGACAACGTATTTAGCTTTCATGCAGATTAGATAGTGGGGTAGGGAGTTAGAAAATCTGAGAATGGATTTCTATTTCTTTTCTTTTTTTCATTGAGATTCTCTATATTGACCATTTTCCAACATTCCAAACATAAGGAAAAGTTGAAAAAATTATACAGTAAACAGTCTTCTACCCACCACTTAGCTTCTATAATTAACATCTTACTGCATTTTTTAATACATAATTCTCCATCTAGCCATCCCTTTATTTTTTTCCCATTTTTTATTGTTATGTTAATCACCATATATTACATCATTAGTTTTTGATTGTTCCATGATTCATTGTTTGTGCATAACACCCAGTGCTCCATGCAGAATGTGCCCTTCTTAATACCCATCACCAGGCTAACCCATCCCCTCACCCCCCTCCCCTCTAGAACCCTCAGGTTGTTTTTCAGAGTCCATTGTCTCTCATGGTTTGTCTCCTCTCCCCCTCTGACTTACTCCCCTTCATTCTTCCCCTCCTGCTATCTTCTCCTTTTTCTTTTTTCTTAACATATATTGCATTGTTTGTTTCAGAAGTACAGATCTGTGATTCAACAATCTTGCACAATTCACAGCACTCACCATAGCACATACCCTCCCCAGTGTCTATCACCCAGCCACCCCATCCCTCCCATCTCCCAACACTCCAGCAACCCTCAGTTTGTTTCCTGAGATTAAGAATTCCTCATATCAGTGGGGTCATATGATACATGTCTTTCTCTGATTGACTTATTTCACTCAGCATAACACCCTCCAGTTCCATCCACGTCGTTACAAATGGCAAGATCTCATTCCTTTTGATGGCTGCATAATATTCCATTGTATATATACATTGTATATTCCATTGATCTGTGTGTCTTTTTGTGCCAGTACCATACTGTCTTGATGATTACAGCTTTGTAATACAGCGTGAAGTCCAGAATTGTGATGGCCCCAGCTTTGCTTTTCTTTTTCAACTTTCCTTTGGCTTCTTGGTGTCTTTTCTGGTTCCATACAAATCTTAGGGTTATTTGTCCTGGTTTTGTGAAAAATATCGATTGTATTTTGATAGGGATTGCATTGAATGTGTAGATTGCTCTGGGTAGGATAGACATTTTAGCAATATTTATTCTTCTGATCCATGGCATGGAATGTTTTTCTATTTCTTTGTGTCTTCCTCAATTTCTTTCATGAGTGTTCTAGAGTACAGATCCTTTACCTCTTTGGTTAGGTTTATTCCTAGGTATCTTATCGTTTTTGGTGCAACTGAAAATGGGATTGATTCCCTAATTTCTCTTTCTTCTGTCTCATTGTTAATATATAGAAATGCCACTGATTTCTGTGCATTGGTTTTATATCCTGCCACATCACTGAATTCCTTATGAGATCTAGCAATTTTTGGGGAGAGTCTCTTTTGGGTTTTCTACATGAAGTATGTCATCTGTGAAGAGTGAGAGTTTAACTTCTTCTTTGCCAGTTTGGATGCCTTTTATTTATTTTTGTTGTCTGATTGCTGAGGCTAGGACTTCTAGTACTATGCTGAACAGCAGTGGTGAGAGTGGACATCCCTGTCATGTTCCTGACCTTAGGGGAAAAGCTCTCAGTGTTTCCCCATTGAGAATTATATTTGCTGTGGGCTTTTTGTATATGGCTTTTATGATATTGTGGTATGTTCCCTCTATTCCTACACTGTGAAGAGTTTTAATCAAGAAAGGATGCTGTATTTTGTCAAATGCTTTTTCTGCTTCAGTTGAGAGGGTCATATGGTTCTTGTCCTTTATTTTATTAAAATATGGCTATTTTAGACATATAAATTATTCTAAGGCTAGTAAAAACTCCAACTGAGTATTACAATGAAAAATTTAAACTTATAATGGTTAGGCATTTGTCTTTATTTTTCTAATGTGTTTAACTTTCCTTTTTTCTCTTTTTTCTTTTTAGGAATCCTAAAACCAAAATATTAGAACGAAAACAGAAGCATGGCTCACCATATTTCATTTCTTTGGATATTTTTGGTCCTGCTTCTTCAGAATTCTGTATTAGCTGAAGATGGGGAAATAAGATCAAGTAAGAACTATCAATGTTTTTGTTACCAACAAATTGATTGTGGAAATCAAATTAGGGGAGCTCAAGCAATTCTTTTAAGGACCTTATTCTTTCTGTCTTTGATGCTGTAATTCCCTAAAATGAAATGAATTGCTATGTTACATATTAACTGAGAGGATATTGAGGTAATATTGAGAGGTAATATTGAGGTAATATTCTATCAGAGGTAATATTGAGAAAATTCCCTGGTAATTGTTTATTCTCTTTTAACCACCAGGCTTTGGAACAAATGGTCTGCTATTGAGTTTACGCTCAGCCATTTAGAGCTTAATGTTATGGAAATGAAGTGCTTACCTCATTGGGTTATTAGGACCATCCTATGAGGTTATCGCTTAGAGATAATGAGATAATCCATATAAACAGGATAACACATATTAATGGCTTAGCACAATGACATCTCAGTAGATGGTGACTATTATTTTGATTGCATATAGGAGAGCTTGATTTGAGAAGGAGAGCTATATTGCACTTCTGCTACCCAGGCCATTATTTATAGATATCATGCTTCTTTTAAAAAAGTTGGCTTATAATATTTTAAAATGCATAAACACCATACTGTAAATTAATTATGGTTTCTCTAGCACTTAAATCATATGGTTTGACAACTTGATTTAGCTTAAAATTTATTAATAATAAATTTAATGTTTGTATAACACTTTTGTAGTTTAATCCACTCAAGTACTATACAAGGTAGATATTCTTTTCTCTGTTTTTTGAGTAGGGAAAGAGATTCACAAAATTTAAGGGACTTACCTAATATCATACAGCTGGTTAAAGCTGTAACTAGTATTTGAACTATGCTTTTGATCTTCAGTCCATTTTTTTCTATGACATTGGTGATTTATCTCTCTAAGAGGAGGTCTTTTGGAGTGGTATTTTGTCTAGTTTTTATAAATGGCAGTACTTGCTTTTGTACCCATGCTCTTGGCTAACCTTGCAGTTATGAAATATATGGTCCATGGCTCTAGAAAGGGATATGAAGGGCCAAGAATAACCCTCTAAGTTTATAAACACTGAATCAAGTGGCACACAAACACTAGTAGGTCTCGACAGTAAGTCTCGTAGTAGTGAGGAAGGACAACCCTGAAGAACTCTGCAAACATAACTTGCCTGTCCTTTTGTCTCTCCCACAAAAGCCCAACAAAAGCATATGTCTCTAATCCCAGTCCAGCTTCCAATAAAACCAGAAGACCTGCATTCCCTAGGGTTAGAAAATTTGTCTTTGGGGAAGAATTCCATTTCTCCTGTCCCTGGCCTGAACTCTGGCAGTGTTCACCATGCCAAAGGAGGTTGGAATAGTGTTCCTCATGCTTTTTTGGACTTCACCGCCACCTTAAGAGTGACATCATAATCATGGTTACATTTTTGAGATAAATCCATGTTTTGGCAGTTAAAATTTTTGGTAACTTCTGGATTATATGTTCACCTGACAATAGTGTTTAATTTTGCTGGTTACTGTGATGGGTGAGTTAACTTTAAAATTGAGGCATCTTCATGTGAGCCTTGTCATCATCCCAGGTATGGAAACAGACAAATATTAGGAAAGGAATGGACAGGAAAGGAGAGAGAAAGAGAAAGATTGATTGATTGATTTTACTTCTAAGGAAATGCAGGAATACAAGTATTAATCATCGCTGAACGTTTTTTATTCTCCAGGACTGTTCTTTGCAATTATGATATCTTATTTGTAATGTCTGCAGAAAATAAATCATTATATTGGGCATCTGATCACTACTAAGACCATTAATATGAGTAGAAACACAAAACTTAAAATTTGTTATATTACCTTGACTCATCTCACCCTCCTCCAACTTACCTTCTCGAGGGACATGTGATCTTTATCGGATAGGCCATAAATGGTATTTTTGCTGCTTTAAGTGCAGAATTGAGAGAAAGAGAAAGGAAGTGTAGCTATTCCTTTCAGTGTACTCTGTTGGCCATTTCAAACTGTTGGAATTACTCAAACAAACCACTTTGTCTGTTGGGCTGTGTTCAATTCTTACCTCTGGACCTTTGTACTTACTATTCCCTCTGATTAAAAGGTCCTCCTCTTCACCTGGCTAAAGCTCTCCTTTTAGATCTCAGGTTCCCTGTCAGCTTTCCCACAGGATCTACTCTGACTTTGCACAGTTAGTTTGCTACCCTTCCTAAATGTTCTCATAATATTTTGTACTTTCCCTAACCAGCCAGTTGTCTGTCTTAATAACTGTGGTATCTGTTTGAGATATCTTAGGCATCTTTGAAGCTGGTACCCAACATGATATCAAGCACAGAGTAGCTATTCAGTATACAATATACATTAGAGCAATTGCCAGTAAGCCTTCATCTACTTACGTGTTTTATGTGGAAGACTATATTGCAATATCCAACGTGATATCAAACACAGAGTAGCTATTCAATATACATATACGGAAAGAATAAAACAGGGTTGGAGGCATGCTGTGTACTGCAGAAAAGAGAGTTAAGATTTTTTTTCTTTTGACAAATGCTTAGAACTTGTGTAGGTGTAACTTATACCAAAGATAGTTTTTTGTTCTCCAGTAGAACTCTCAGGTGTGCTGATCCCATGTGTTTTCTGGTATCTTGAAACCAGAATCTTTATCTCTATGGAGAAAGAAATAGCCTTATACCCATTAACACAGATTCACTTAGCATGAGTGTCTAATTGGCTGAAGATGAGAGATCAGATCTTTAAACGCTGATCTTGCATGTAGTGCAAGAGTAGACTACGTTGGTGATCTTGGTTCATTAAACTTTTATCAACTGCATCAAAGAATATGGGTCTTTATTGGCTAGTTGAATCCTGAAGTTGGCAGAAAGATTTTTTGTTTTTAAATTTCTCTCTCCCATTCATTGGTTTATGTATATTTTAGTAAATACTTCAGATTAGCATTAAACTAAACATATTTTATGGATAACTTAAAAGAATGCTATTAGCATATAGCTGAAAATCATTTATTTATTTATTTTTGTATTTTCATTTATTCAGTGGGGAAAAGGAATTAATTGTTGCTTTATGGTAGTACCTGCCCCTACAAAGAGCTATCTAGATATCATGTCAAATACAGCATGCATTTTTTATTCCCTACTTTTAAAGCTGAATCATTAATCCTTAAATTAAGACAACGGAATTTTAAAATGTCAACAAAAATAATAGCTCTCATTTAGGAAGAATTTTCATGAGTTAGGCAGTATATCTTATTTAATCTTCACAAAGCTCTTATGAACTGATTACTTTTTCTTTTTAAAGTTTTAGCTTTATTGAGGTATAATGGACATGTAAGATTGTATTATATTTAAAGTGTGCCTCATGGTGATATGATACACATGTATGTTGTGAAAGGAGCCCCCGCATCTGCTTACTTAAAGATTGTACAGTAAAACCTCCCATGTTTTGCATATTATACAACAAATGTGTTCTGATGGTTTTCTTTTTCACTTAGGTTGTCGTACTGCTCCGACAGATTTAGTTTTCATCTTAGATGGCTCTTACAGTGTTGGCCCAGAAAACTTCGAAATAGTGAAAAAGTGGCTTGTCAATATCACAAAAAACTTTGACATAGGACCGAAGTTTATTCAGGTTGGTGTGGTCCAGTATAGTGACTACCCTGTATTGGAGATTCCTCTTGGAAGTCATGATTCAGGAGAGAATTTGATGGCAGCAGTGGAATCCATACATTACCTGGGCGGAAACACAAGAACTGGAAAGGCCATCCAGTTTGCACTTGATTACCTTTTTGCCAAGTCCTCACGGTTTCTGACTAAGATAGCAGTAGTACTTACAGATGGTAAATCCCAAGATGAAGTTAAAGATGCAGCAGAAGCAGCAAGAGACAGTAAAATAACATTATTTGCTATTGGTGTTGGTTCAGAAACAGAAGATGCAGAACTTAGAGCAATTGCCAATAAGCCTTCATCTACTTATGTGTTTTATGTGGAAGACTATATTGCAATATCCAAAATAAGGGAGGTGATGAAGCAGAAACTTTGTGAAGGTAAGCCTAATAGAATTTGGAAACCATTAATAATTGCATTTTCTAACACTTTGGTATAACCTGCTTTTTATACCAGTGTAGTTATATTTAGTGTCAAATTATGTTAGAATTGAGGTGAATGTGTATTTTTGTGTTTCATTTATTCTGGATAAATTTTGTTTTTAGAAACAATTAAGAAAATCTACAGTTGGAAAATGTCATACTTTGTTTTTTTGTTGCTTTTTCTTTTCAATTACAGCATGTCTATTGTGGAGATGGAAGAAAATAAAGACACATAAAAAATAAGAATATATATAAACCACACATGATCAATATTACTCTTGTTAGTGAGTTTTTTTGTCTTTTTCATTGCAGTCTTTTTTTATTTCAGTGTGTCTGAGAGCTTATTCATGTGCCTAAATAAGGATAACATTGTATATATAATTTCATACTCTATTTTCATACTGTTGTATATTCTATTATTTTTATGTATAATTTTCATCCTCTGTTAACATGATAGCAATCTTAGTATCTTAAGATAATTCATTTAACAGTTTCTTTTTTGTGTGTGTTTAGTTCATTTCTTTTTGAAAAAATTTTAATCTAAATTCTAGTTAGTTAACATATAGTATAGAGTAGAATTTAGTGATTCATCACTTAACAGCTAGTGCTCATCACAAGTGCCCTCCTTAATATTCATCACTCATTTAGTCCACCCCCCACCCATCTTCCCTCCATCAACCCTCAATTTGATCTCTATAGTTGAGTCTATTTTATGGTTTGCCTCTTTTCCCCCCTATATTCATCTGTTTTATTTTTTAAATTCCATGTATGAGTGAAATCATATAGTATTTGTTCTTTTCTGACTTATTTCACCTAGCATAATACACTCTAGCTCCATCCATGTCATTGCAAATGGCAAGAGTTCATTCTTTTTGATGACTGAATAATATTCCATTGTATATATACACCACATCTTTTTTATCCATTTATCAGTCGATGTGTTTAGTTCATTTATAAGTTTTTCTACTATAAATAACCATGAATATTCTTGTACAGAGTCTGAATGGGAATCTCTCAGTTTTTTCAAACACAAAGGTCAAATTACTATCATTGTTAAAGCTCTGGAAAAATGTTAAAAATTGCACTTGAGAGAGACTTAAATTTCTACCATCAGTGAGAGGACATTTGAAAATATAGTACTTATTAGTCAATTTTTATATCATTCCATGAAATCTAACTGTGTTTATGATAAGTCCATGGTATGGAAAAGCTCCAATTTTTGGCAAATATTAATTGTATAAGGATATAGACATGCTTATGTTCATATTATTTTGGGGGAGATCAATTTGTTGTATTACAAACATTTAAAAAATAAGATAAAAAATAAAAAAATAAAAAAATAATATTCATGTAAAATGGAAAGGCTTTTTTTTTCTAGTTTACTTAAAAAAGCTCCAAAAACAGGTTGGTTCACATTTGATAGAAACATTTCTGCGGTGCCTGGGTGGCTCAGTTGATTAAGCATCTACCTTTGCCTGAGGTCATGATCTCAGGGTCCTGGGATCAGACCCGCAGGCTTTCTGCTCAGTGGGGGGTCTGCTTCTTTCTCTCACTCTGTTTCTGTGTGTGCTCTCTCTCTGTCTCAAATAAATAAATAAAATCTTAAAAAACAAACATTTTTAAGTGATTGTGGTCTAGGAAACAAATTTATTTCTATATTTTCTTCATATTTTTGGGGGGCTATAATACAGAGAAACATTTAAATTTATTTTTAGATTATTTAAGAAGGGATAGAAGTTAAGCATTTTCTTTAATCAAAACTTTTAAAAAGGTACTATATAGCAAGTACAAATGATCATCACAGTTATTCCTATGTTTCTAACAGTAAGACTTGTGTTGACTCTTCTCATCTTGAGCAGAAGAATTTATATTTGTTTCCCAATTTTATTGAAAGATAATTGACATACATAGATTTTTAAATACATTGTAAGATTAGAATTAGAATTGTTTGGTTTTGAAGCTAGATATATTTCATTATTAAAACACTTTTCCTGGTGATATTTTACTTACCATTCTTTTATATCCTAAAATATAAATTTGATTAAGTATGTCTGGGCAGTACTTGCTTCAGAGACTTTCTGTAGATACGTATTTTGGTAAATGCATTCTATTTAAAAAATTCTAATTACACGTGAAAGAGTAGCTGTGCTTAAAAGGGGTAAAAAATTCTTTTAGCAAAAATGTCCAGTCTGTAAAAAAAATTAAATTTGAAATCTTGCCAAATATTTCTTCATTCACACTCAAAGAAAGAATGTAAGTAATGCCTGTGTCTATTCAGTTCACAAACATGCTGTACAATAGCCATCTTTTAAAATGTAGTTTTTGAAATTGTAGTTAGGGGAATATAAAGGCTTTTTTGCACTTGACTTTTTAATAACTCTTAGATTATGATTAATACATTGTTGTATTGCAGAAGCCTCAAATCTTGCAATTTGTGCATTGTTGGACAAAGTTCATCTTTTTCTTTTTTTGACAAATGGTTACATACTACCTTGAAGTGCTTATCATATAGGATTACCGTTTCCTAATATTGTTAACTTTTGTACTCTTGTTGTGATTGGTCCACAATGAACAAAATATTATTTACTTCTTTGGTCCTACATGGATTATTTCAACTTCATCGACCTACCACTTCCTTAAAGGTATATTTTGTAGTACGTTTCTTAATTCAGGAAGATGTTTTTGTAATGGACAGTGATTTCTTTCTTTATCTGTCTGAGAGTTTGATTTTTTTCTTTTTCATCCTATTTTTTTTATTGTAAAAAACACATGAGATCTAACTTCTTAAATATTTTAAGTGTATAGTACAGTATAGTTAACTACAAGCACATTGTTGCACTGTAGATATCTAGAACTCCTTCATGTTGCATGACAGAAACTGTCCATATTCCTGATGAGTATAGATGCAAAACTCCTCCACAAATTACTAACAAAATGAATTCAACAGCATTATCAGGAATATGGACCTTTAGTTTTCTTTTCCTGTAGTGTCATTTTCTGGCCTTTTTATCAGGGCAATGCTAGCCTTATAAAAAGAGTTTGGAAGTACTCCCTCCTCTTCAGTTTTTTGTAAGAGTTTGAGAAGGACTGACATTAATTCAATTCACCAGTGAAGACACCTGGTCCTGGGCTTTTCTTTGTTGGGAGGTTTTTGATTACTGATTCAATATCCTTATGAGTTATAGGTCTGTTTAGGTTTTCTATTTCTTCATGACTCAATCTTTGTAGGTTGTATGGTTTAGAAATATATCCATTTCTTCTAGGTTATCAAAATTGTTGATGTATAATTATTACAGTCTCTTATGATCATTTGTATTTCTGTGGTATTAGTTGTAATGTCTCCTCTTTCATTCCTAGTTTTATTTATTTGAATCTTCTCTCTCTTTTTCTTAATCTAGCTAAAGTTATTTCAGTTTTGATTTTTTTAAAATTTTATTTTATTATGTTAATCACCATACATTACATCATTAGTTTTTGAGGTAGTGTTCCATGATTCATTGTTTGCGTATAACACCCAGTGCTCCATTCAATACATGCCCTCTTTAATACCCATCACCAGACTAACCCATCCACCCAATCCCCTCCCCTCTAGAACCCTCAGTTTGTTTCTATGCAGCCATTAAAAAAAAACAACAACAACGAAATCTTGCCATTTGCAATGACATGGACGGAAGTAGAGGGTGTTACACTAAACAAAATAATCAGAGAAAGACATGTATCATGTTTAATTTCCACATATTTGTGTATTTTCCACTTTTCCTCTTACCATTAATTTCTAGTTTCATTATGTTGTGGTTGGGAGATATATTTGGTATGATTTCAGTCTTCTTAAATTTGTTAAGACTTGTTTTCTGACCTAACATGTGATCTATCCTGGAGAATGTTTCATTTGCACTTAAGAAGAATGTGTATTCTGATACTGTGTGGTGGAATGTTCTCTGTGTATCTCTGTTAGCTCCATTTGGTCTATAGTGTTGTTCAAGTTCTGTGTTCCCATTTTGGTCTTTTGTCTGGATGTTCTATTTATTACTGGAAGTAGAAAATTGAAATCCCTTACTATTATTGTGTATTCTGTTTCTATGTCTACTGTTTCTCCCTTCAGTTCCTTCAGTGTTTGCTTCATATATTGGGTGCTATGATGTTGGGTGCATATATTTTTATATTGTTATGTCTTGCTGGTGAATCGACCTTTTATCATCACATCATGTCCTTCTTTGTCTCATCTGAGTTTTTGACTTAGTTTGTTTTGTCTAAGTATTGCCACCTTTGCTCTGTTTTGGTTGCCATATGAATGGAGTGTCTTTTTCCGTCCCTTTACTTTTAGCCTGTGTGTGTCTGTAATCCTAAAGTATATATCTTGTAGACAGTATATAGTTGGATCTTGTTTTTTTTTTTTTTCTTGGTCCATTTAGTCACTCTATGTCTTTTTATTTGGGAATTTAATCCATTTATTATCTGAAATAGCAATAGGGAAGGATTTAATACCACCATTTTGTTGTTTTCAGTATGTCTTATACCTTTTTTGGTCCCTCTTTTCTCTCTTACTTTGTGTTTTTTCCTTTGTGTTTCATTCACCTTTTTTTTTGCAGTGACATGTTTTGATTTTTTTCTCATTTTCTTTTGTGTATCTTTTATGGGTATTTCCTTTGTGGTTACTATGGGGGTTACATAAAGCATCATATAGTTACAGTAGTTTATTTTAAACTGATAAGTTAATTTCAATCACATACAAATACTCTACATTTTTGCTTCTCCCTGCCCCCTCACACTTTATTATTAATGATACAAATTACATCGTCTTACATTGTGTATTCATTAGCATATTTTTACAGTTATTGTTTATAATTTTTTCTTTTAACTTCTCTGTCAGAATTAAAAGTGATTTACACACCACTGTTAGAGTATTATAGTATTTTGAACTTGTCTATATATTTAACTAGTGAGTTTTTTTTTAAAGA